TGCATCACCCCTCCATCCCTGGCCTTCAGCAGGCCCTGCCTGCTGTGGCACCACATCATGGACCACGTGAGAGAGGTAGTAATGGAAGAGGCTTTGCCTCTTGTTAAAGCCTGGATCTTTTTCTTTTGTAAAAAACAAGGAATAAAAGATACAGAGTAATTTTGATACCCATGGGGCCTCTCAGGTCTGGAAAGTTGCTGAAATCTCATATTTTGGAGGCCCAGCCAGATGTGGAAGGCATATGAGACCATTCTTGACCACAACTGGAGAGAATGGCACATGATTTCCTACATGAGGAGGTTAATTTTCTGCTTGGAAAAGACGGCTCCTTCTTTCCTCCATGGCTGCACATCAGGGAAGTCAGTGTTAGGCTATGCTAAACATGCATTTTTGGGTTTGGTTGTGGGGTTTTTTCATTTAGAAAGAAAGATCAAGATAAATAATTTTTAGCTCTTTAATCAAGATACATCTTTTCTGGTATGTAGCCACCTGTCCCTTACAGAATTGACTTAGCAAAGGAATAAGAAGACATAGTTCTGTAGCTTCTGTTATCCAAGAGGGTAGTAAAATGTCCTTAAAGTCCTTCATGGCATCAAGATATAGGAGTCTCAGAGTGGTGCTTTGACTTTGGACCTTCATGCTCAGAAGTAAAAATGAACAATAGGCAATAACAGTAGCATCATATACAGTTACAAACTAGAAAGTAAGAACAATTGCAGGCTTCAGCATCATTTTGTGCAGGAGGAACTGGGGAAATGGAAGTTACAAGTGAATGGGATTTGGGAAATGAGCACACTGCCTCATTATAGAGAAATTCTGCTTTGTTCGAAGAAATGGGAAAGGAGGAATTTCTACAACAGCAGACTGGAAAGCTCTTTCCACTGAATATAGTAATAATAACAGACATAATTTTGTTTTAAGTAGGAGTTGGGACTTAACACAGGAGTTTATTTAGCAACACAGGTTCCTGCACTTTGATGATGCATAAATATTTGGCTCTTCTTTAAAAAGAATAAAAAGCGATACAGAAAAGCAGCAGATCATGCCTTGTGAGCCAAGACTGCCTTCCTCTGTCTCTTGTGACCCTGTTCTTTCTGTGGGAGAGATTTTGTTTCTTAAAGCATTTGCAGAGCACACAGCACTGATTCCTGAAGTCTGACTGATAGAGAGAACTTCAGCTTTAGGATCCCAGTAGTGTATCAGACATGCTGCTGCAAAACACTGGCATAGTGTAAAACACAAGCTGTCAGTTCAAGTCAACCCTGGTGAGTTAACTTTGAAGCAGTAGGCTTCCTACTCCATTGGCTGGTGTCTTCATTCCAATAACTAGCCTCAGGAGCAGAAGGTAAGGATATATGTTGACAAATGCAAACATACATCTCTCTCTGAGCCAGATCCCATTTGTACTGCTAGTGCCAGCAGGCTCACCATTGCCATATCGACCACTGAGGTCCTTGGCTTCAGTTGTCACCTGTCACAGGTTTCACATGGGCTAAGCCTGTAGGATGCTGCTGGAATGAGGAACACAGACCATCAGGAAGATAAGACTGAGGGTTAAACAGACATTCCCTCTGGAGGCAAGATGTGAGCTTCCTCCTAGTGCAGGAGGCAGTCTGCAAAGACTGAGTGTTGGATCAGTCACATCAGCAGGACTAGCAAAGCAAAATGGGATAGTCTGTGCCGAAATCAGGGAAGAAATCCTGTCTCCAGCCTGTCTCTTTTTCTTTGCATAGCCAGCATCACACAGGTGTTTTATGTTTATCACCTCCTGTCCCCATTTCTTCTGGCCTTACTTTAAGGCACCGAAAGAAGGAATTGTAATTGCACAGCATATGACCAATCTGACATGTCTAGGTGCTTTAGAATAAAGAAAAATAAATTACATTTTCACTGAGGTTTTTTTCCATTTTGGCTTGTGTCTACACCACTGTTCAGCTCTTTCAGCTTGATGTTCCCCAGAGGCACTAGTTGGCCATGTCCTAGGCAGGCTATCCCATGTGAGCTGTTAATGTGAAATCCTGAGGGCTTTGGTGCTTTTTTCAAATCTGAGAAGATCATATGTTGTAAAACCAGCCATGCAGGCAGGTAGGGACAGCTCTATCTTGATCTAGGAAGGCATATAATATCTTTGAGAATTATCTATGTCATCTAAAGATGAGCAGGACCACCATCACCTTCCTTCCCATCTCTGGGCCTGACAAAGCCTTTGTTTCTCTTCCAAGGGTGTGCTAGAGGTTTCAACTCCCCCTGCACCTAATGTGGCAGAGAATGACTCTGAGCTGGCCAACCATACTTCAGGTAAGCAAGGTGGCAGAGAAGCTGTCCCTCCTTCAGAGCTTGCTTTGCAAGCTTGTGAGGCTGTGTGTAATTCCTTCCCGTCATGCCTTCCAGATTTGCATGTACCTTTGTGGGTGAAAACTCCTTGGACAGGGATCCCATGTGCCATGGGCTGATGGGTTAAAATCCCCCCGACCCAAGTATGTCTTCCCCTGCTGGTGGATTTGTCTCACTACCTCCTTGCACAAGCACAATAAGCCACTGATGTGCTGTAAATTCTTGAGCAAATACCGTGAGCCAAGGAGATTATAAGTGTATGTTCTCAAGAGTGATCGTGATCATGGATTAGAAGGGCCCCTACACAAAACAAAACACGGACCTTTGTGTGCATGTTTGACCACAAGATTTTTATTTCCACATTCGTGTGCATGATCATTTCTTAAGAGCACTTAAGACTCCTCAGGAACCTGAAAGATTGGTGTGATGCTGCTAGGTTGTTAGGGTTTTTTCTCTTTCCATCTTTGAGACCTTTCATGTTTGTTTCATTGTCTAACAATGACACAGTGACATACCTGGTTCTTTCCAGCGCCATTTACAGTACCACCTGTCATCAAAACAGTATCAAATTTATTGATCCATTATTTTTGTCTTTAAGTGGAACCTGAAGAAGAGAAAAAGGAGCATCTTCCAGAAAGCAAACACAGAACACCCCAAAGAAGCTCCAGCAGAGCTCAGGGAACAGCAAAGAATTCTGCATCTGTTAAATCCCAGGTATCTCTTTCTGCAAAGTATGTTCAGATGAAAAAACAGAGCAAACAGAATCTCCAGGCCAAAACTTCCCCTGCACAGAGTCTTCATTCAAGAGGACTTGTAGAGAAAAGAAAAGATACTTCTGCCACCAAAGACCCAGTAGTAGGGCTTGAGTCAAGAGGGAGGAACAGCACTTCCTGCCTGTCTGCAATATGTACACAGAGGGAGGCAGAAGACACCAACTTTGTCTCGAATGCCAAAGAATTCGTAGCAGGCAAGCAGCAGACACTGAGTGCTAGAAAGCCTGGGTCTTCCCACAAGACCATCAAAGACAGCTATGAAAATGCCAAGGAGACGGACAGCCCATTAAGTGCCAAAGAATCCTTAACATCATTAGGGCCAGATATGAAAGGAGAATGGAACCCTCTTCTGGTGAAGAAAACCAGCTTGATCCATGCTAACAGCAAATACAAATTTGCCACTGCAGATGAAGTTACCAATGAAGAAGAGGTATTGTATCCTTTGTGGCGAGATTGAAGGCTGTTTGTATGGTGTAGCAGGAGGCTGAGTGGGTGGGATATTAGCTGTATACTAGCAGTTTCTTGAAGACATGTAGAGGGATGGATTTGGGCTTCACACTACAGGGCAGTGACATATTCCACAGACAGCCTTTCCCACGTCATCTTTAATTTTGTCTTTCCATCCCCTTTTCATTTATAAGGTTCCTGTAGCCAGGCAAAGCCCTAACTCAGCAAGGCAAAACAATGTGGTACCAGGACTCAGTCCAGAGCCCAGCACCATCATCCTTTCTAATCCCTCCCCTTCACGCTTTTTACCAGTCCTCATTGTCCAATGCAATTACAATGCATACAGAAGCTGATGAGGGAGACTCAAAGTCAGACGTAGGTCCCAGGGATTAGCCATAGCTCAAAGATCCATGCAGGGCTGGAAATGCCAGGAGTTTGCTGCACTTTGGGAATGTGGACTAACTGATTCCTTCTTGCTTGTTTTCAGGACCGGCAAGCTCTGCGCAAAGCAGCATTAATCATGGGACAGAAAAGACTCAGTGACCGTACTGGAATGCAAAAAACCTCCTCAAACTCTGCATCTCTTACTGATTACAACCAGATGGGTTTTAACCTGAGATCAAATATCTTCCAAGGT